ACTTATACCAAGTCTTTAGGAAATAGCCACCTAACAACAGGTCTGTTACCAAAATAAAAGAGACAGTATTCTAAATAGTTGAAGACGTATTCATTAAGAAGGAATCATCACCGTACAGTATTATTGGCTTCTTTGGAATGATGTAAGTGCATATTGTCAACAAGGAGCTAGGAATATTGCATAAAGGTTTCCAGTCTTCAGTGCCACTAACAGTCATGACAATACCTGCATGGAGAAAGCAGCTCTACCACAAAGTCCCTACTGTCCTTCATCTGTTGATGGCACTTTTTTCAAGCACCACCACTGCTGTAAGAAGCCAGAATTGAAGCAAAATTTAGAAACAAACACATACACATATACACACAAAACCCAGAACACTAAATCTAACTATTTGGTAGAAGAAATTATTATTTTAGGTCTGAAGAGGCTCAATATTTTCTTTCTAGTGAACAGGTTCTAGTGGGAAAGATATATGATTAGAATGAACTATAGTGTCCCGCTTAGTTAGAAAAACCGACACTACCAAGCCTTACTTACATGTTACTGATTTACTTTTATTCATCTAGTTAAGATCAGAAAAGATGTTCCTGAAATTTAACATTTGGGTGCAGAGAATCTCACAGATAACAATACTTTCTAGCATTCAGGTACAACCAATCAATAGTTGGTTGAGATAAAGACAAATTTATAGTTGATTTATATAAGCACAAATGGTATGATCCTATAATCTTTTACTTGCTTTCCTCAAAGGACCAATTTAAAATTGTATCTTTTGGGTGTTTTTGTTTTTTGGCCAGTGTTGAGACTTGAACTCAGGTCCTGGGTACTGTTCCTGAACTTCTTTTGCTCAAGGCTAGCACTCTATCACTTGAACCACAGCTCTACTTTCAATTTTTTTGGAAGTCCATGAGACTTTCCTACTCAGGCTGGCTTTGAACTGCAATCCTCAAATCTCAGCGTCCTGAGTAGCTAGGATTATAGGTATGAGCCACCAGAGCCCAGCCTCTTCTGTTATTCTTAAGTCAAAAAAACTTACAAAGTTATTTTCTAGGGTAACAAAGTAATAAGAGAAAAGAAGCCAGGTATCAGTGATTCTTGCCTATAATACTAGCTACTAGAGAAGTCAAGATCAAGAAGATCATGTTTGAAAGCCAGCCCAGGCAGAAACTCCTGAGACCTGTGCCCCCAACAACAACCAACAGCTGGACACACTGGCCCTCAACTTTTATCCCAGCTATGTCAGGAAGTATAACTAGATGACTGAAGTCCTGGCCAGCCCGAGAGAGAGAGAGAGAGAGAGAGAGAGAGAGAGAGAGAGAGAGAGAGAGAGAGAGAGAGAGAGAGAAGAGAGAGAGAGAGAGAGAGAGACAGGGGCAGGGGCAGGGGGTGGGGGCGGGAGTGGGAGTGGGAGTGGGAGTGGGAGTGGGAGGAATGACTAAAAGCAAAAAAGGGAAAGTTGGAATCTGTTAAAACTAGTTGTTTCTGTGTTTTTGGCAACAGTGAAAAGTAGAATTTAAGGGGCACAATCACAGTTTAAAAAAAGGCACTTTTCCATAAATATTTAATCTAGGTATAAAATATTAATGTAAAAAATTTCCTGAAAGAGCAAGAGGGGTAAAAAGAGAATTTTATTAATAAGTGAGGCTTAGAATGACACAAAAGGAATTAGACTTGAACATATCTAGAGCATTTGGACAATTCACAAGTGATATTATAGACAGAATTCTGATATCTACATTATGAACATTAATCTCCAAAACTGAGCTCTAGTAACAAAATCAGGAAGAAAGAAAAATCTTTTTAATATATAAGATCCTGCTAACTCACTTTTATGGGTATATACTCTGAGTCCTTTTTTTTGGTGGTGCTGGGGGATCATGTCCGGGCTTGCACATTGCTAGGTAAGCGCTCTAGCAGTGGGCTGCATTGAGTCATAAGTTATTTTTCTACTTTATCTGCTGAATTGCCGTCTTTTTCTTTCATCAAGTTCCTCCAAAGAGATGTAAGATGGCTGACTTGGTTAAGAATAAACCTAAGATTCATAGTAAAGCTAATGGGTCTCATAATTTTTTATTAGTTAAAACAGCCAGGAAATAGATATAACAGAAACTCTCATCATATAAATGGAAAATTCTCACATTACTCCTGTTTATAACTATCTGAATATTGAGAATTATTAGGTCATTTGTTTTGGTCCTTAATTATTGATACATCTAAGATTTTACTTTTCCAAAACAATACTTTATAATGGCTTTGAGGGTCAAAAAGGCCAGGAACAATGGTATGTGTCTCTAAGTCCCAGCTACTTGGGAGGCTGAGGCCAGAGGATCAGATAGTTAAAGGCTAACCTGGGCAACATAATCAGGCTCTGTATCAAAAATTAAGTAAAATAGAAGGCCAAAAATAAAAGAAGATAGAAAAAAAAGGGCCAAAAAGATCTATTGTTTTTATTCTGGAGGGACACAGATACAACAGATACAACTACTTCCTTATTTTCTTTGGAATTATTTTTCTAACATACATTAGTTGAGGTTCTGAGGGGCAAGAAATAAACATTAACAGAAAATTCCCAACTATAGCACATGATATAACAACAAAAACAGATATGCACTGGCGAAATAACAATATGATACTCCACAAGTATAACATGACAGAACTCAGAAGCAAAGTAGGACTTCTAATTGTCTCCTCCCCTTGGTGTGGATATATAATGGAATGATAATAAGGAATAACACATATATACACACAAACACACATAGAAAGAGATAAGCTCCAAGTATTTATGAGTCACTGAAAGCAAAAAATTGAATGTATTAATATAAAGAAATACAATGTGATTCACAGTTTATTTAGGTCCTTCTGCCAAAAGTCAGTCATTTTTGTTTCCAAGGCCTTTGGTGGCACACTGAGTCTTTCCCATATGTAGCTGTAACTTGTAACAGTAATTGGGAAATCACATAATTAGCACAAGTATCAACCACTGAGCTAACTTTTCAATAAGAAGACAAATACTCTTTGTAACCAAATTATATGTTCAGAATGGTGTACTTAACATTGACCTTTAGGGGTTGGAAACATTTAACAAAGTAAAAAAAAAAAAAAGAACAAACAAGAAACCCCTATCATTATTGAATAAGAATATGGTAGCACAGCCCTTGTATAAATAACCACAAAATTTATGAGAATAAAAATTGGGTTTTCTGTCTCCATCCCATGAAACCATTACAGTTCAGGTGTATGTTCTGTTCTAAACTTAAGGTATTATAAAACAGAAAATTGGTCCCGGTGACTTGGCATTGCCAGTCATCACTGTATAAGGAGATAAGCCTCTTGCTTAAACCACAGAACAGACAGAAATCACCACACAAGCCAGTCTTCTTGCCACCATTTCATCCCAAGTATAGTATCAACAAGCATTCTAATCAGATCTTGGTGAACAAATAGGCTTACTGAGCCTTTTTTGTGATTTCAGAAAAAAATAGTTTACTAATTCTATTTTCTTTTTTTTATTCCTTCTGGGATTGCATTCTCTGACATTATAGGTAATTCTCTAGGGTTAGAATTTTACATTTTAAAACTGAAGCACTGGTTTGTGTGGCTGATCCTTCTTAAAACCTGAACTATATTGGATAATCTTTCCTAATCCCAGGGGAGAAGAGATGTATTGAGGAAAATACTTTTCGTTAAGAGAATTTATAAAGTAGCTTGCTCTAGGTATTACAAGATGGGAGAAATGTTATTAAAATTACAAATTTTTAGTGTCTTTATAAATAAAAGGCATAGAATACAGAAAGCCAATTAATATTAACAATAACAATAATAAAATATTAAATATATAGTGAGCAAAGACTGAATGGCTCATTCTTATAAAACACCATTTGACACAAACTGCCTCAGTAGGTTTCCTTACTCTTTCACATTCATCTGAGTGAAAGATCCAGCAAACACACTGTAAGTTGCCTTTAGCCCACTTAATAACATCAAGGAACTGCCTGATGGAATGGCTACAGATGAACAGGTCATTTGTTTCAAAAGGTACTTAAATACTCATAAAGACATAACAAACCCCCCCTCCCCTGTCACTGTTATCAGACGCCACGTTGTGGTAGAACATCAGACAAACTCACAAATTTACCACAAAAATGTGTGGCAAAAAAAGAATAGTTTATATATATGTATATATATAAATTTCTATATTTATGCCAATGTACTCACTCAGTACAAATAGCAAAATAGTATACCATTTCCTAAATACAAAATATAGCTTTCCAAAAAAATGAAACACACATTAGATATAAACCATCCAAAACTTGAACGATTGAAAACTGTATTCAAAATTAAATGACCCAGAGTAGGTCTCTTTCTGAAAGTTCCCTTCATATCGGCCAGAAGCCTGTACTACTGAAAACATAATTCAATGCCTCTCAATCAGAGAGAGAAAGAAAGAAAGGGTTAGGGAGGAAGGGGAGGATATATGAGAATGAAGAGAAAACACAAATTAGAAAAACAACACATTCAAAGAGCAATGAAGACCGTCACAAAGGGGGAAAATCTGGCTGTATAAAAAAAAAAAAACAAAAACCCAATGCCACAACTCAACTAAATGTATACAATAGGAAAGGGGAAAAAGAAAGAAAGAAAATAAAGAACAGAAAAGTAGCCTTCAACAACCATTAACAGGCTATTTTTTTATACATTTAAAAATAAATGGATAGGATACCAAAATATTTTATCAACAATAGAATCCACACACAGTTGGCTTGACACTGCATGGACAGCTTTCCACATGCCAAAAGGAAAATGAGATAAGCACGTGTCCAGACACAGGTGGTAGTTAGAAGCAGGCATCCCATGGGTGGCAAGAACACCCAAAACTGTATAACTAATGCTACAACTGCAAGTTCCGGAGTGTATTATTTTGCTCTTTATAGATGTTACACAAATCAATTCTTCATTTTAAGTCAATAATATGACCCTGTAAAGCCTAAGGCTGTGGGAACCATCAGGTTAGTGACACTTCAAACTGTAAAGCACTAAGGTGACGAGTAAATGATACTCACTGCAGCTCAGGGAGAAGTGATGTTTCAGAAATCCTTTAAGTTTTTTTTTTTTTCAGTGAAAATTTATACTGTGTTCTATAGAGGGAGAATTTTGATAACTTCAGAACAGCACCGTTCATGGAAAAAAATATTTTTTTTTCTCAAAAAGCAACTCTCAATATTTCCTAAAAGAACTGTGCTGCAGGATTTCTAGGTCACCTTGAAGTGGCCTTTTTCTTTAAGATGCTACAGAGTCACAAAGCCATTAGTATATTAATAGTTCTCTACAATGAAGTGAAAAGTAGGTAGAAAATAATACAGATGAATAGAAAAGGGATACCAGCCTAAAACTGAGTAAAGAAGAAATTAAACGCAAATTACTGTCAGTTTAAACTACTGTAGGAGGATATCAGAACATAATTTACCATATATTACCCCCTTCATTTTTCAGAGCAAAATAATGATTTTTCTATACATTTATGGCTATACCCCTTAGTAGAAACACAGAGAATAATCCTCTGAAAAATAAAAATCAGTAACATTCCAGCTGTCCCCAGTTTTGTATGTTATCTGCCTTTGTGTTTAATACAGCTTATTTGTCAGAAAGTTACCACTTCAGTTTCTTTATAAAAACTGAAAAGAAAAAAAAGATTCCTTCACTTTGGCCAACAGCTGTGTTCTTTATATTGAAAAAAAAAATCACAGCTTTAGTTATTATTGAGCCTCACTTTTTCACAAGCCACTACTTGACAAAAATAATGCAGGAGAGAGAACAATGAACAACAAAAGTAAACATGTCAGATAGTATTTTCTAACAGCAATAATAACTGAGTGATCTAGCCTTTAATTTGACGCGTACTTTTAAAGAAACTGTGCCTAAGGAAATAGCAACACTTATTTCCGTCAGCTGGAAACTCTAAAGATTCTCAGTCATAATTGTTATTAGAAATATAAACTGAATTTGTTAACATTGGTGGCTAGTCACTGCAATAGGCAGCACAGTGTGCTCTTTTGCAATCAGAGTAAAATTTATCCATTTATTCAAATACAGTTTTTTATATTTTGCTTTAGTAATCTTCAAGGAACCATTAAGATCTCAGGACATCTTGGAATCATGATTTTCTTCAGGAAATATCTGAAAACAAACAAAAAAACCTCACTAGGTAATGGAAGCATTTACAAGGTATTTGTCACAAAGAATAATCCCAAAGTATATTATGTTCTTATAAATGTAGCGTTTTTTTTTTTATTGTTGTTTGTTTGTTTTTTGTTTTGGTGCTGGTCCTGTGCTTGAGCTGGGGGCCTGGGCACTGTACCTGAGCTTTTTGGCTCAAGTCTAGCATTCTACCACTTGAGCCACAGCTCCACTTCTGACTTTTTCAGTTACTATTGGAGATAAAAGAGTCTCATAGACTTTCCAGCCTGGCCTAACTTTGAACCTCAATTCCCAGATCTCAATCTCCTGGGTAAACTTAGATTATAGGAGTGAGCCACCAGCACCCAGCTTAAACAGAGCTTTATCATATTTATTCTTTCAGACTATTCTTACTTAATGCTTCCTGGAGACAGGAGAAATAGAGCATTACCATATTCAATATATAGTAGGAGGGAAATGCAATGCATCTGTCCAATGTCTCAACTTTCCAAAGCAAAGAAATATAGAGATCAAAGGAATGCTCACTATTCACAATTTATTAAAAGTAAAAAAAGTACCATCTTGTGGAAAACCAGATTTTAAGGCTCTAACAGTGTTACTATTTAGCACAAATCTGTTAAGAAAAATTAAATTATTGATGCTTTTCAGTAAGAAGCCAAAAGTTATTATTCACTTACCCAGTTAAAAGGAGCCAGTCAAGTTGTTTCCTTGGTTTTGCAATGAAACAAGCAGATCAATCTTTTCAATATTCTGGTTAGTGTTTATAGAGGATGACAGAGGAGAATTCTCTGGCATCTGCTGAGAAAGAAGTGTTGTCACAGGTGACTGTCCCTCATTTTGTGGTTGGCCTGGCTGACTTATGGCCATTAACTGATCTGGCAACGTAGCTGGTCCAGAGGTTAAAAGCTGGCTACAGTCTGCAGGCACAATGAAAACAGAAATGACTTGGTTAGTCAGGATTCACAAGAAAATATTTATTAGTTGCCAGGGAAATTCATTTTTTTTTTGTTTTTCTTTTGGTCAGTCATAGGGCTTGAACTCTGTCCCTGCGCTCTTCAGCTCAAGGCAAGAGCTCTACCGCTTGAGCCACAGCGCCACTTCCAGTTTTCCAGTGGTTAACTGGCAGTAAGAGTCTCACAGACTTTGCTGCCCAGGCTGGCTTTGAACCATGATCCTCAGATCTCAGCCTCCTGAGTAGCTAGGATTACAGGTGTGAGCCACTGACACCCGGCAGAAATTCATTATTCTATTCAAAACTAAAAGTGAGGCATTTGACAGTATAAGAAAAAGGTTTCTTTTACTGATAGAAAAATACCAGTTCAATGGAGCACTAGTGATTCACACCTGTAGTCCTAGCTATTCAGGAGGCTGAAATCTGAGTACTGAGGTTTGAAGTCAGTCCCAACAAACAACTTATCTCCAACTAATCAGGAAAAAAAAAAAAAAAAAGCGAGAAATAGAGGTGTAGCTCCTGATAAAATATTAGCCTTGAGTGAAAAAGCTACGCAACAACACAAGGCATTGATACAAAAACAAGCAAGAAAACAAACTAGAGAGACTGGAGGTGTGACTCAAGTGGTACAGTACCTGTGTACAAGTGCAAGGCCCCAGTACTGACAAAAAGCAGAAAAATAACCTATCCAGTCCTACATAATTCCTTGTTATATGAACCTTAAAGGTGGGTATCTACTTACTTAGAAACTACTTACTTTAACTAGCTGAAATTGGACAGTATGTTTTTTCTTAACTTTTCTTTTGGTACTGGGGATCAAACCTAGAGTGTGGCACTTTCTAGGCAAGTGCTTTGCCACTTATTTTATATCCCAAACCTATTGGACAGTCTTCATTCATTGTCAAGTTTGCAATAGCAAACATAGCATTTTTATTCATTACCATTATATTCCAATATCCTTGTGGAAGATAATCACTATTTTATGTGTGGAAATTGGGCCCACATAGGACAAATAACTTTCCTCGTCTTTTATTGGTAGAATTCTAAATACAATCTGTATTCTTAAAACTGCTTTACTCTGCTTCCCTTTTGAACAAACATTTGAATGGAGTAATGAGAAATTAGAAAGTTTCTTACTATTCTGAATGCCAAATAAGAACATTCCTGAAGTCTGCTGAGATGAGCCAGGAGAATTCTGTAGCTGGTTCATTGTGCCTCCTGCAGTGCTGTGAAATAAAGTAGCCTGAGACTGGGGTGAAGAGGTGGCTCCTTGGATCCCAGGCATGTTGTTCTGAGGAGAATAAAGAGGAGACTGTTGCATGTCTGGTTGGTTTATACTGGTCTGTAATGCAGACATGGATGCTGGAGAGAGGAAGAGTGTCACTTGCTGATCTTGAGAACTAGGTGACCCTTGAACCAACTGAATCTGAGGAGAGCTATGGAATAAGGAAGTCTGTGATGACTCAGACTGAGTAGGACCTGGGTTCTGAAGTGATGAAACTGTGGGCTGATTCTGAAACTGCATGGGTTGCTGATCTTGAGTCATTGGAGCCATATTACTTTGTTGGTGAAACATGGACTGGTTCTGTTGCTCCTGGCTAGCCATTGGATTCTGGTTTGGGCTGAATATCATGTTTGGTGGTGGTTGCTTCTGAGATGCCATTGAAGCCATGGTATTCTGATTACTGAATAAAATACTCTGTTGTTGTTGCTGTTGCTGCTGCTGTTGTTGCTGCTGCTGCTCCTGGGATGGAGAGTTACTCTGCAAAGCAACTATGGAGTGCTGTGACTGGAAAATTGTTCCTTGTTGATTCTGAGGCATTGGATTAGGTGGAAGGGAGCCTAGGGACACCTGGGGCTGAAATAAACCTTGCTGAGATGGTTGTGCCTGGTCTTGGGAAAGCATAGGCGTCTGGATGTGTGAGATTGGAGCCTGCTGTTGGAAAGCAGCTTGCTGTTCAGAATTTGATGTTGACTGAAGTGGAGAAATTGAGTTCTGTGCCGCAAAAAATGAAATCTGTTCTTCTTGGGCTACTGTGTTAGTCTGAAGATTATTCATAGGGCTCTGGGAAAGAAATATGTTGGGTGACTGCTGGTCCTGTGGAACTGAAGAGCCCTGTAACACAGTGATAGTATTCTGAGAGTGAAACATCGGAGGCTGCATTTGTTCAGAGGATGCTGTAGAAGTCTGACCATGGACAATAGGATTTGGACTATGAAAAATAGAGCCTTGAGTTTCCTGGGGAAGGTTCTGGGCATCAGCAATAGGATTCTGAGGATGGAAAAGTTGAGCTTGTGAATGAGAAGACTGCTGCAAAAAATTCCCAGATTGAAGTGACATCATCTCACTCCCTTGCTGGAATAAACCATTACCTTGCTGCTGGGTACCACTATTTTGAACACTCATCATGCTTTTTGTGGATGTAAAAAGGTTAACTTGAGATTGACTGTCCCCACTATGTTGCATTTGGACCATTGTCTGAAAGACACTATTCTGAATCTGTTTTGCTTGTGATCCAGTTTCTTCTCCATCTCCTGAACTTGATGTCTGAAATATGGTAGTGCCTGGGGTAGCAACCTGTTGTGTGGTGGTTGTAGAAGTTTCATTCCCAGAAACTGCAGGAGGAGAAGAAAACAATTCACACTGCATTTGCATATCCTCATTGGTAGATAGTGCACTCATCATGTGAGAAGGCTGTTGGTAAACTGGAGATTGTTGAAGGCTTCCGTTTGCTGAAGCAGTTGAAGGGAATAACTCTGACTGAATCTGGGCAGCAGCCTGGCAAATACTCTGTTGCATCTCCATCACCATTGCGGCTGATGATTCCATCACCTGTTGCTGCTGCTGCTGTTGTGGATTAGACAACGCATTTTCAGCCTGTGGACGAACACTTTCAGCTCTTCCAGGCATTAAATTATCTGGTCTGGTGTGAACTGCTGGCTCTGTTGAAGAAAACATTCCTGGGCTTACACTATTTTGAATTTGACTGACTTGTTGAAAAATGTCTGCACTAAGTTGTTCTTGAACATTCTCATTACCATCTGGAGCAGAAAATAAAACTGAAGATAACTGTTGTTGGGCCTCTAAAACTTGCTGGACCAAATCAACACTTCCACTGCTGCCACCAGCATTACTGCCTGTAAAACTTCCTGCTTGCAACTGCTGAATAGTGTTCTGGAGCTGACTCACACTATTTGGTGATGGGAAAATATTTGATGATATCTGCTGCTGTAAAGTCTGAGCTTGGTCTTGCAGTGGGGACTGCTGCTGTTGTGATGCCTCATTCAGCTGTGACAAGTTAACCACTGTGCCATCTGACTGCAATACTTCTCTAGATTGAGCTTCTCTTGTCTGAAACTGTGTAGCCTGCTGTAGTAGTGTATCACTGCTGGGCAGCTGACTAGAGGCAGAAGCTGGGAAGGTCCCAGGCTGTGAGATGTCTTGTGTTTGGATTGTTGTCAGGGTCTCTGGGTTGTATGCCTTGGGCTGAAGCTGCTGTTGCTTTTCATTCTCTGATGGTAAGTGGGAAGACGATGGTGATGGAAAGGATCCAGTTCCTGCTATGTTAGAAATATTCTCTAAATTTTGCTGAGTTGATCCAACTGACTTCGTAGTCTAAAAAATAAAAATCCCCAAACAATATGCACATATAAATATTAAATAAATATGCTACTTAAAATTACTACTGTAAAATATATTTAGAACCAATTTTATTTTTTTTATCATTGAAAACAGGTTCAAGATTGACTCACTATGATAATGTAACTTCTGATTTTCAGTATTGTAAGACAATCTAATAGGAAAGCAGAAGAAACAGCTACTGACATTCTTAGGCAAATTACAGGTAATTAAGAGAACATTAATTCTATAGTTCATACATACCAAACTGAAAAAGGAATCATTTTGTGGATTATCAGTAACACTACAGTAGAAAAAGCAACTGAAACAGAGAGGAGTTACAGAAAAGCACTGGAGGAAAACTGAAGTAAAAATGTTTCTCCTTCACGAAGTGCTGTGAAATTAGTGCTTTTCCTTCAGCTTTTTGAGACAAGAGCCTCCCAATTTTGTCCAGGTTGGACTCAAGACCGTCCTGTCTTGGCCTCTCAACTGCTGGGACCACACATATGCTACCAAGCCCAGCCGTCAGTACTTGTCAATACTCCTTATCCCACAGGTATTAATTCCTCCATTTTTCAAATGGATACCGAAAGTTGCTTTGCAAGCACTCTTGCTAAAGTTCAAAGCATTGACTTTGAAAACAAAATTCATTAAGTATATGTAATGCAAAGTAAATGTGAAAAAAACAAGAAAAAGTAAACCTAACAATATTGTCTCTGAGGTGAAAATTTGGGGCACTAGTCAATGTAACTTACCTTAAAAATAGGGGAAGATCTTTTTTCTGCTGTTACTTCCATTGGAGTAACATCTTCAGTCTTAATCATACTGCTTGATATGAGTGGAGTGATCAGAGCATTAGGAAGAATATTTACCTTATCTAAGTTACATCCAGTAGTTTTCATTGCTGCATACAAATAAATACCCACACAAAAAAAGAAGACAAGGAAATTAAAGTTTAAAATCACTAAAATAAATATATGTTGTGAGATAAAATCACTAAAATAACTATAATTTGACAAGTCATTATCGATGTATATACATACATACACATTGTAGTATACATATTTATGCTATAACGGTAGCCTGATACAAAGAAGTATATCAATATTCACCTTCCCTTTTTAAGTATATTGATTTCTTCTTCCCATATTTCAAAGTACTTTTTATGACTGTTGAATTATTTCCAAGTGACTTAGCAGCTATTTGCAGGGGGAGTGCAGGAAAAAGTTTACTTGTACTATTTTGACCTAGAATTCATGATTGTACTCTAACGAGTCTTTTTAACAATATCAAGTAGCATGAGAGATGCTACCATCTTTTCTTTTCTGCATTTCAACATGTATTTATTGAGCCTTACAATGTGCTGAGCACTGCTCTAGGCTGAAGACCCGGTGAAGATTAAAATGGGTACTGGAAATTATAGACCAGTAAGGGATGAAAAAAATAATAATAAAGTGTATATACCACCTATGGAGAAAGAGGCTCTTTTAAACAAATTCTGAAAATCTTTTCTTCTTCTTTTTTTTTTTTGGTAGCACTGGGTTTTGAACTCAGGGCTTTGTTTGAACTCAGGGCTTTGTGCTTACTTGGCTTGCTTGCTCAGCTGCAATCCTAACACTTGAACCAGGCCTTTAGCCTTCTCTTGCTGGTTATTTTTGAGATGGAGGCTCACAGATGTTTCTGGCTTTAACCTCAATCCTCCAGATCTGAGTAGCTAGGAATTATAGGTGTGAG